ACGTGTAAGAGAATCAGGATGAGGTAATCTCTCTGGAGCTGCCTAATTGGATTGAGCTCTTTCCTTTATGCTTCTATGAAAACGYACCCCAGCAGGTATGAGATCTTCACACACACACAGATTTATACAGTTCATATTGTGGGCGCCATCGAACCTCCCTCTGAAATCTAATCCATGTTTGTCTTCCTCTACTTACAGTTACCCTTGGGGCAGGCCTGATTGTCCCTGTTTGATTGGGACTGCTTTCATGTGCCTCATCCACTGGTGACGTTATGTTCAGAAAACATGACTCGTTTACATGTTCCAGCTTTTTCAGAGTCGGGATTGAACACTTTGAATGCTATTCTCTATTGCTTTCAACTTTAGACTGAACTAAAAATACTCTGTTTTGTTTTTCATTCAGCATTTAAGCAGCTCTTTAGGCATCCCGCTGTCAGGAACCTTTGCATTTCCTTTGACTCATTCATAAATACATAAAATAAGTTTTTAGCCTTAGCCTTCACCTGCACAACAGTGTCCAAATTAGGAACATCCCATCTCAAAGTGAAGCTGAAGAACTATAGATGGTTGTATTTATTTGATATTGATAGTCTCTCTCTTATGTTMCTCTTAGGTAGGCTTTATTGTGGTTTCCAGAGTTTCAAAGAGCAAAAACCAGAAAAAAACAGCTCTGTGTTTGAGTTTCCGAGGATGACACCCTCTCTTGGTTAAATTTGAAGCTGAAAATGTTCTGTCTTGGTAAATTACCAGCTGGCTCCTTCCAAGCAGACGAGGCAGGCAGCTTTATCTTAGTCTGAATCTGCTGGAGGTTTTACTTAAGATAAAAAAAAACACAATGCTTTCACTCTCCTTGCCTTTTCTCTCACAAATAGGTTGTTAAAGTTGTTTTACTGTGAAATGTAAAATTCACTTTTCTGTGYTGTTACGATTAAAACTGAAAAGACTGTCAATTCTTGCCTGACTATTAATCAGTGTCTCACATCATGGTGGAGGGAGAACTGGCCCACTCTTTTTTACAATGTTGCTTTGGTTCATAGAGGTTTGCAGACATTGGTTTCTGCCTCACCACGTCATTTGAACTGGGTTCAGGAACGGGCTTTGATTGGACCAATTGAACTGACTTAATTCCATTTTTCTTTCTTAATCTCTTTTTTTTAGCCATTCTTTTGTAGATTTGCTGCTGTGTTTGAGATCATTGTCCAGTTGCAGCGTGAATCCAAGTTTCAGTGACTGGACAGATGTCCTCACATTCGACTCTTAGGTCCTCCTCCGTTGAGTCAGTGACTGCAAGGAGCCTGAATCATCAGCCTACCGCCTCCATGCTTAACTCCATGGTTGAGGCGCTTGTGTTGATTTACTGTGGCTGATTTTTGCCACACGTGGCCCAGTGCACTATAGGGGTGTAAGAAAATATCGATACACTGAAATATCGCAATATTTCATTTCTCGATACTGTATCGATATTCTAAAGCCCTGTATCGATTTTTTTTATTAAGGTTTAAAACGTCAACTTACCTGCCAGCCATTCATTTTTATGTTGTAGTTCAGCCTSTGACCACTAGTTGGCAGCAGTGAGCCAGACATTTGTCTCCTCTACCTCTTGAGCGCCAGAGAGCAAGGTTAGCATTAACATTGTGAGTAAACATTAGCTTCATGCTCCGATAGCTGAATCTGAGCGGAAAAGACCGACACCCTCTGCCTTCTAAGCTGAGGTAAGGTTACAAACTGTTACTTATTTGTCAGAATGTTTGTATTTTAAGCCAAATTAAGTGTCTTGTGCGCTCTTTTTTCCAACGTTACAGAAGGCAGGTATTTAATAGAATTTTTGGACAAAAAGAATCGCAATATATCGCCTTGCTTACAGTATCGCAATACATTGGGATATATCGTATCGTGACCCCTCTGTCATCCTATCGCCAAATTCAATACACAGCCATAGTGCACTATGGGTACATTGGGCACTGGACTACTTTGGTCTTATCTGTCCAAAATAAGTCTTGTGGTTCATTTAGAGAAAACATTACAAACCTGCCATGTTCGTTTTAAAGAGAAGAGTCTTTCTGAACAAGCCATACTTGTTCAGGTTTTTAATTTAGTCTGTGTTCTGTTGTGAACTTTGACCTTTAACCTGCTAACTGAGGCCTATATGAATCTTTCTTACTGTAGACTGATGAACTCCAATTTGTTTGGAAACGACCTTTAACTTTTACTGTATTACTAGACAGCAGCAGTTGTTTTATTAAGGTTAGTGCTGATGTTTTTCCACCTTGGCACAGTGTTAACACACCCCTGTATGCACCAGAGCAGCACACTAACAAAACTCCTGGTCACACCAATGATGATCAGTTAATCCATTAATTGATTAGCAGCATCCAGCTGATACTTATCCTCTTATTCTGGAATCTGTTGTGTGTTTTAGATTTTAAAAAGAATAAAACTAAACATCAGATCATGTTTATTATGTCCTTATATAAAACCCCAGAGCTGACAGAGGGCAGACTGTACCTTTGTCCCATTTCTTTCATTTTGCCTGTTAATGACGATCGATGGCTGATGATCCACCCAGACATTTCACAGCAAGTTTCCCTGCCTCACTTTTAGGTGTCTTCTTTCTCAGCTGTTAACAGATGAGACTGGAGTGAAAGGGGAGGAGGTTCACAGAAGAGGACTCACTGGGAGAAAGAAAAAGAGGGTAATAAATTGAGAGATTTATGGCTGCTGCGGTCGTAAAGCTGATTGCCTGTGGCTGTCTTGAGCGATGCTTTTTAGCACATGCAACATATGTCACACACACGCACACACACACACACGCACGCATGCACGCACGCACGCACGCACGCACGCACACACACACACACACACACACGCACACACTGTAACTAAGATGAGTGAAGGAGACATCAAGGAGAGACAAGAAGCTGCACTTTCCTGCTGCAGGGCAGATCAGCCCCCGTGTCAGCAAACAGGGTTTAAAAGTCCAGACTTGTTCACAACAAGACTTTTTCATTTCTGTTCATTTACCTTTACATATTAGAGGAGGTGTCTAGCTTGCGTTTGGCTTTTAGCCACAATGATGCACAACACAACGTGTGTTATAAATGCTACATGTTGCTCATATTAGACAAGGCAGCAAAGATTCTCATTAAAAATCTCAGATGATCCCAGTGTTTCTTAACCTCTCTAAACCTAAGTTTATTTTGATTAGCAGGCACTTCTGCAGGTCACCTAATCAAACTGGGAAAGACAAAACATTTGTAATATTTTTGTCATCTAGCTCTGAATGGAAACTTGTGTGCCACATAGCCTGCACATGTGTCAGTTTTGATTTTAAAATTCAA